TCCTTAATTCCTATTAATTTAGCATAATAGCAATCCTCTCATCTGGAATTAACGACAGCCCAGCAGAAACCCCCCGGTCTCGGTGGAGCTGCAAACAGTCCAGACAGCACATTCCTGCTCCATTATGCTATGTATGTACATAGCAGTGTATAGATGAGAATGGTTAAAATTCATAACCCTCGCATAAGACCCCCATCAAATCTGCTCTACACCTGTATTGCATTTTTTTGCCTTCAATCAGCAGCTTTTGGAGCAGGGCACGTACGGCCGTCTTCCCATGAGGAGCAGAAAGCCATTACAGCAAGCCGGGGCTCATTTGCAGAAAGATTGGAGATCTAACGTCACATTTGAGGGGTGAAAAAAGGTATCACTGTGGAGGAACAGGAATGATTTATTCCACTTTTAGTTTTCAAAAGATTGTGCCTGACTGCTGGTGTTCTCAGACATTTCTTAGAGTATTTAAAGTGAGTAAGTGTTTCAGTGCTGAGCTTATGGTGACCAATACTTGTGCATGATACCTGCACTGAGCATGTGAATGAAAAGAAACACACACACAAACCCATTTCTGAGGCATGAAAATAATGCCCAGTGCTTTGACTTGTAGCCTTTGTTAGATGCTGTTGACCCCCCAAGGGAGAGATTGTGACCTTACAAACATCAGCTGCTTGAACTCTGTTGACCCCTGAGGACTCTTTTGACACACCTTTTAGAGAGCCTCAACATAAAGCTTTTGAATCATTGGAAAGTGGCTGAATTAGAGCTTCACAGACATCAGTTCTATCAGTGCACGTGAAAGACAGCAGACAAACAATACCAGATGTAACATGTCAACAAAGCACTGTGTATGTACACTGCGTGCAAAGAATGAATTATAGATCAACTTGAGAAATAGTGACCATTAAGAACTGTTCACTTTCATATAAGCAAAGCCGAAAGCTACCATACCAGCGCTCTCTACGTGGCTAGGCTCCCTATGAAGCATGAACAGCAGTGTGAAATTCAATGGTAAGCACAAAGAATTCTAAAATAAATAATTATTTCAGAATATTCTTATTATGCTTTATGAAAAACAGATTAAATGCAGCCTGTGGCGACAGGAGCATCAGTACAAGCTGGCAGGGGGTAAAAGACAACCTAGAGGGGGAGGCAGAGGGTGGCTTCTGCTTTTTAATGACCCGAAACTTTAAATACTGCATAATATATAACAAAAATGGATACTTCATTTAACTCTCACAATAACTCACAGAGAGACCATTAGAATCCATTACTCTTAATGTCAACACTGTAAGCAGTAAATATGGATGAAGAGAACATGATATGAGCACCAAGGGAGACGTGAAAAAACCAAGCCATAATCAACTAGCACAGAGACAGAAAACAATGCACTAAGCTAAATGTTCAAAATGACTGGAAGAGAAATTAACAGAAATCTGGAAGCACCAAAAGCAGTGTAGGAAATAAATCCAGAGTGTGGACATACCAGTACCACATTCACAACATCCAAAAATATTAGTAAAGCCAAAGCCACTAGTGTGAGGTTTTCTTCAACAGAGAACATACTTTTGCATATACTGGGGAAAAAAAAACATAGAAGGCCACATCTGATGTTTTTGAACTTAAATAAATAAATTAATTAAAAAATGGTCTCCAATTGGTGTCAAATGATGTCAAAATAATTGTTTGTGGTAATCGACTACATGCTACATATAGATATTAGGTTGAAAAACCTGAGATATTAAGTCAATTCCTAAATTTAGCTCCAGGTAAAACACTAAAAAGACTGCCATACAGGAGAAGCTTGTAAAAGGGATGCTTTTCGTCGACCTGTACCCCAGCCCACTCCCAATCCCAAGCATATACCTTCACCTGTAGCCGTGGCAACCCCGGTTGGCACAGTAGGCATGCTGTCTCTCAGCTGGCCTTTCCACTAGACAAAAAGGAAAAAATGCACAGAGGATAATAAAAAAGAAAGAAATATAGAGCCACTTGTCATCCCTAGCAATCTGCTTAGTAATGAGAAGGCTTTCCCCCTGGGTGAAAAGATCTGCTATAATAGATTTTTAATGGCTTTTCCCCTCTCCACAAGAACCACTTCCAGCACCCAATAGCAAGTGGGAAAAAAAATCAAGTAATTCCAGCCTCAATGGTGTGAGGTCAGCAATTATAATCCATTGAAATCACTAAAGCTTTTAACTGTTGCAATAAATCTATTTTCCGGCACTATTTTTCATCTTTTCTTCCAGTGATTGTCACACTAACATGGTAAAAGGAGAAAAATCTCAATCAACATGCACCTCATTATGAATTTACAAACCACTAGGAAAAAAGCACACTGTGATATTGAGAGCCAGACTGAAATCGTAGGCTATTATTTGCCAGTGCTACATTAAGTAGCTGGTTCATAGTTTTTGATTTACTACTAAGGTGTGGTAAGATTATGAAGACCACATAGCAGTACCAATCTAGGCCTGATAATGCTTCTGAAATCCAAAGTTTTGAAAAAGTTTACCACCACAGATAATAACTGAATGACTTCAAACTTCCACTCCTCTGTAGACACAGACAGCAGGGCATTACTGAGAGGAGCTTGTACAGCTTTAATATCTTATTATAAAGTGCTGACTGCCAATTCTGCTTCATTAGTGTTGGGAATATGACCTAAACTTTATAAGCAAAATGGCACCAGCCAAAAACTGATTCATAATGTAACACAGTGAGACAAATCTGCAATTAATATGCTGTCAAACAAGCGATATTCTGGAGAACGCCTTCATGAATGTGATTCAGAGGGCCATAATTGCTTACCTTGGCCAGCTGCCTTCATATATTTGATGAATTTTCTCATATATATGTCTTTACTACACAAGTCCAAATCTAATCCTGTTTTTCTTACCACCTCTGTTGAAAAGATATCATGGAGATGACTTTTTACTGCTAGCAGATGTCACAGATCGCAATGCAGTTGATGTACCCCTGCTGTTAGAGCAGCCTGTGAGACACAGGGGCCTGTGGTTGGTCTGGGAGCTCTATGATAACCTCCATAGAGCTAGCTGCAGGGGTTATTCATACAATAATTGTTTCTGCCAAACCCATACATCTCCATGTCACACCAAAATTAATGTGATTTTTCCTGCTAAATAATAGATTGTGTGTCACCGATGCTGAAGTCCTGCACACAGCCACTACCTTAATGTGTCTCAAGGGCCACAGAGGGTTTTTTGTTTCTATTACAAACAGCCCCAGCTTTTAAATTACTGTAGTTTCAATTAGTTACCTAAGATGTAAACAGCATTCAAGTATTTAAAGACTTCACCTTGCCCTTTTTTATTATCATGTGATTGAACTTGCTAATACAAGTGCTTAATCCTTCGTTGATTAGTACTTTATATTTAGACAGGGTAATTTGGTCCTTCAATTACAGGCACAAGTCTTGATTGCATTGTCCTTAAAACAAGGCATTGATCCTTCAACATGGCACCGCTAAATTTTTCCGTTAATTTAAAGCAGCCAATTTGCTGCTCTGTTATCCTAGAGAGCTGACCAGGGTGAGGTGTAATAGTAAGCACCTGCTCAGGTTAACGCACCCTCCAGCAGCTCGGCTTTGGCCTCCCAGCGCCTGGCTGAAACGCAGGTACGCTGTGATCACAGCCTCTTCGGCTTGGGTTACACACAGCTCACGCCACCCTTTGAAAGCCACAAGAGAAATAAAGCCCTGGCCTGTTATTGCCCTGGGCTGCAACTCATCCTGCCACCGAGCTACAGTATCAGTGCCGAGGGCCAGGGTCAAAGGGTCAACGAGGAATTAAGACATGGTGGCCTGAGCATTCCCCACGCAGAGATGCCGTGTCAGATAGTGGCTCACAGATGAAAAGCAAGAGCTTTCCATCCTAGCTGATACCACTGATCAGATATCACTGAGTGCCTAAATGACTTCCATTAAGATCTTTTATTCTCACTAAGGATGACATGATCAAGATGCTGTCTAGATGTGCTTGGTGTCAAGAGCAACAGTAAACAGATAATGTGATGTATGCTGAGAAACACAAAGCCAATAGAATATTTAAAAGTCACTCTACCAGATAACAAAATTTATCGTCCCTTCAATATGTAGGCCGCATAGTGCCATAAAATGAAGGATGTATTGTATTTTTACATTTCCAATACTGACTTCAGTATTTTACTTTGAAATTTGCAATTAGTTGTAATAGAGCCATTAGCGCTTCACAATAAAGACTACTCTATTTAGTTCTAATTGTATTCAGAAGCAGCACAGGAAGAAACAGCAGAGAAAAAGACTGAGCCATCATAAGTGAGCAATGGCCCTGTAAATCAGTCCTGTCCCTCAAAATTACCCCATGCTAAAAGAAAGGGCCACAGGGTCCATTGATTTGCATGTAATACATGAAATTATTATTTTAGCCTAATTGTTACTAAGAGAGGAGGCAGCGAGGCCAGGAAATCAAGGCCTCTGATAAATGTGCTCAGCAGAACGCTTTGAGAGGCGGAGAGAATCAATATGGCAGTTTGTCAAACTCAATCTCAGAGGGAATGCGAGGCTTAGATTCTGCAGTATAGAGCCAGGGCTGCGTCAAGTCAGCAGGGCACATTATCAGAAATCAAAGGGCCCGAGCGTGACTGAGGGAGGGGCTGGGTGGGGAGACTAAGCGAAGGCCACACTTACTCCATGGTAATTAAAAACCATTTTATCAAGCCTGTCCTCTCAACAATCCCTCTTGCTTTCTATTGACAATATGCTGGGTAGAGTGAGCACTAATTTGACTTTAAATAAATGAACTGAAGGTATTTAAAATTCTGCATTAGCAAGGGAGGAGAACAAAAACAGAAGAACAAGCAGATTGCAGCACCTGTGTGCAAATTCACTATACATCAAGTGCACATAAGCTTCTGTTTCTTTTTTTTTTTCAAACAATAAAGTAGTAGTCCCAAGGTAATTAGTTAAGAATGCCTTTATCGAAAACATGAAAGCCGACCTATCAAAGTTGAAAAGAAAATAGCTTTATTACAGAATTTTAAGCCCTCAAACAGAATAGCATTGTTGTGTGAACTTGTACAACAAAAAATACTCTGATCTGCATAATAATGATACATGTAAGCCATTCATTTTCATTTTGAAGTACCAGTTGGGTAGAGTAATGACAATGATGCAAACTGCCCTTAGTACTGAGCCCCTTCTACCTCCTTATATGCAAAATAAACAGTGACGGGGCCAGCCGAAGTTTGCACAGTTTCTGTTACCCGAACGACCATCCAAGAGCCGAGGCCGTATGCCAGACATGGAAAACCTACAAACAAGAAGTTCAAAGAGAGGATGAGAAACTCAGTTATGTGCATTCATGCAGTGCTCACTTTATATCTGTTCTGGTGCGCAGAGTATTATCTGAACTGACCTAGGTTGATAACTTTCAGTGCACCGAAGAATGTGTTCTCAAAGTCCAGGCTCTGTGGAGGTGCTTTGGTGCAGTGGTACTTGATGAAGGGAAAGGCTCCCGTCCTGAGGATGTGGTAGTTGGCACCCTGTACCTTCCAGTTGAAGTTGGACAAGCCAAACTGGTCATTCACTACAGCGCTGTAACGCACACAGAACGAGGTCCAGGGTGGGAGTCTGCGCTGGGTGAGGTGGCACGTTAGCACTTCTGAGGCAGGTGGACGGGGACGTTTATTCCGAAACGTGCTCGGGAAAAGCACAAGCTTCAAAAAACCGCTGTGAATTCTCCGCAGAATTTCTTTCATTGCTTGAACCGTTCAAAAGCAACGAGGTCTTCATACACGTGTAAAAGCTGCTAGTGCGCAAATCACAGTGTTTTCCCCAGAGTTAACCTTAACGTTATATAACAGAGAGCTGAATGTAACGAGTCATGTTAAAGAAGTCTGCTGCAAACTTCTTCGAGTAAAACTGAAGAGCACAGAGGTACGAGGCACGGAGGGAGACTTTTAAACCCAAAATACATCCCACTAATGCAAAGCAACGCTAATTAACTTACTGCTTATGGCTTCAGAGTAGAGGCATTCCTGTCAGAAAGGTAGCTAATAGGTTAGCTTACTTGGTTAGCGCGGCCGGATAGCTAACCGCTAGTAAATGCTTCGTGCACACGCAGCTCATAAACGAGTTATTTCACCTATGTACCTGCATTAGCCAAATGCACCGACAACTTATTTAACCTTATTTTCTAAATTTTTCATAAACGCGGAGAAAAGAGTTTAATATCACGCTAAGGCTTGAGCTAACCTTCAGCGGTACAGTCTGTCTGATATCCGACTAGAAACAGCAGACTCTTGTTGGTTCCTGTTTTAATTCATTTGGATGCACGCCAAATCAATCATTGCTGAGGGGGACAGATATTATACTATTTTCATACTCGCTCACATTTAATAATAACGTTCTAACAAATCGATTAAAACTAACTACTGCTAAAAACTGCTAATTCTAACTGTACCTAACGTTTCTCCTTTCCTTAAAGTTGCTTGAGCTTTATGTTTCAGCTACTCATGGTTGAAACTCGCTGAAACTTTCCCACTGCTGAGAAAATAAACCACAATACAAATAAACAGAATCTGAGTTAAGTGTTTTTTTTTAATATTATATATAACAGCTATAACAGAGACCTAAAATAATAGTAATGGTGTATATGCCATCATAATTGGAAGTATAATAATATGACCAGTTATGCTGTTGGAATATAGGGAATAAAAGTCTATTCTACTCAGATTTCTCCTCTTCTTTGTGTTCTTTGACAGAGTTCTGTACTGTCACACCCACCACCTTCTCGATATTCTTTATCAGGTCCTGTCAAAAGCAGAATAAAGTATAGATATTAACTAACATAAAGGAATGTGTGGAAATCTGAAACCACCTTTCATTTTTTACTTCGAGTCAAAATGGCCATTAAGTACAAGTTATTCATTTTTCAGCATCAGAAAAAAACAGATAACACATATATAACAGAAAATTCCATGTAAGTCTCAACATCTAATATAACACATTCACATTTACATTTACAGCATTTAGCAGACGCTCTAATCTGAAAAAAGATATAATATAATATAATATAATATCAGACTTTTCAAACATATTTAGGGTGTCCATGCTTTGCCTTCATAACAGCTTGCATTCTTTTGGGGAGAAATCTGCTGGGATATTTTTCCACAGCTCCAAAGTTCAGTCTTAGAAGTTGGTTGCATTTTATGGTTCACAAAAACAGTTACAAATTTAGACTCGTTAGTCTACAAGCCATTACTCCACAACAAACGTAAAGGGTGGACAAACACTCATAGATTTGATATTATACTTAATGTTTTAACTTTTGTGTAATTTTCTGTTTGTTGTAAGCTTTTGTGTAATGTCTCCTTTTTTCCGATTCTAAAAATGAATAACTTGTACTTGATGGCTGTTTCGACTGGAAATGAAATAAACCAAAGGGGGTGTCTGACTTTTGCGCAGAACTGTATAGTAATTAAAATTATAGTGCAGTTTTTAAAATTATCTCTATGTTTTAAATTAAGATATACTTACTATCACATAGGCATTTTTTGGCTAGAATATGTAATATAACCAGTCACATGTATGAATGGAGACCAAAACAACATGCATATGTAATGTGTGATATACATTCCTAATATGCAGAGTAATATACAAAGACTCTTCTGCAGGTATCAGGTTAAATATGTCACAGTCAGCAATCAGCAATAATGCCTATTAATGCTTATATTTAAAACTTAAAGCTGAAAAAAAGTCTGTATAATGTGCTGTGCTGCTTTTTCAGCAAAGACTAGTCATGTTGTTTATCATGATGCATAAAAGACATGTTTCCTCTACAGGTTCCTGTCCACTTGCATTTGAAGAACAGCTCTAAAAGCAATATTGTAAAGTAGAGCAACTTCAAGTTCCCCACTCATTGTTCCCAAGGCTATGAAAGAGTGTAGTTATTATCTCATATTGTGTTATTCAGTCTAAACATTTGGGCTGATTGAGAGTAAAAACATTTCCAAGGCCATGTAATTCAGTTCACATAGTTGTTTTTTCTCTCAAAATCTTTGTGATGTACCAAACAGACAAAGATGCTTCCATGTCAAGACCATGGGCTCAATAAAGAACAGTACTTAATGGATGTCTAAAGTATAGAGGATGTCGTTAACAGGTTCCTTGTTCAGGAATGATGTACAAGTCAATAAAAAATTTAACAATCATTAGTTCATTAACAGCATACCTTGAAATTGGTCTCTCCTTGCATATTTGGGGCTGATATTTCTTGATGAATGATGGACAGGTTGCGAGCAAAGGTCAGCAGCGCTCCCTGGAGATCTGGCGAGATTGTTCTGTTAACGAGACACGGAGACAAACGAGCTTACTAATGATCCCCTTCCACCGCCATGAAAGGCAAAACCAGAAACAAAACAATCACCTTGCTTGACTGCTGGGGCTGTTGGGAGCTTAATGAGAGCTCTCAGCCTTAAAGAGGGCTGTTGTCTTCAGGGAGAGAAGCGGAAAGGAAGCAGGGCTTCAGCGGTTAGCCATAGGATTGAGGTGATGGATGCCTTTAATTCTGCTCAGCAGTATGTCGTGAGCCGACACTTTTCAGTGTAGGTATTTGCGGTGTATGGGTTAAATGGCAAACAGGCTTTACAGAGTGTGCTCACAGTTGTGTATATGTACAGTGTATGGTAGGAAGGAATAGAGAAAAAGGAAAGAGGAAGATGAAGGGAGTGTGTCTGTACGTTTACAGAAACTTACGCCATGCCAAGGCTGGTCCTCTTCACACTGTCATGGAGGGCGAACACAGAGCCTTGTCTTTCCTAGAATTCAAGATATCAGTGAGTGAACACTGTCATGCAGTATGAAAGTCTTTGAATGGTGCAAACAGATATGTCATGAGCCAATGTGCCAGTCCCGTGGATATATCTTTATTCTGAGAATTGGTGTCAGGCTTGTGTGTCTCTTTTTGCTAAGCTGACAGTCACAGCCTGCTTACTTTTATTATAGCTAGGGATGAATGGTGATATTGGAACCTTACCAGTATCATCAGATATTTGTTTAGACAACAAATACTGGCATTGGACAGATGTTTAGATTTGACTTATATTTTAAATCAATATTTTTTGATGTATTTGTTGTACTTTGGAAGAGCATAATGTTTAAGCACTGCTGAGTAACTGCGCTGAGATATCAGCATTTTACTGCATTTGTAACCTTATCTGTAATGCTACTCTAGGTGGATCCACAATTTCTACATTATATAAACGTTTATGCATCAGCCTCGACCTTTCATGTACATGAAAGATTTTGGCATCTGCCCACACTTCCCATATTGTTGCACCCTAATTACAGCAATAAAGACCGCACTGGTTAATGACCACATCATTGTAGTTAAAATAACAAAATATATCCAAATACAAATATATCCAAACCTGACACTATATATTGTTTTATCTAAGCTTCTGTGAGTTTCTGCTGTTATCAATCGTATCTCACAATAACACGCAAATATTGCATTTTGTAGCCATATGTCTGTGATGTTTGAGATTCCAGGATAGTGCTAGTATTCAATAAATAGTACAAGGTAAGACTTTACTTGAACCCTGTCTAACACTGACAATATCATGCATGTCACGACAGATGTCATGAGGTGTCAAGACAGATTTTGTTCAGTAATACAGTATAACCATGTTACCATTGTCAGTAATTGACAGATGCTGTAGTTTTTGATGACATGACAGCTTGTGCTAATTTTTGCTGAGTGTTCTAGTTAGCTGTCATGACCACCCAGTAATGTTAACATAACACTGTTATATCTCTGAATAAAATCTGTCATGACAACTCATGACAGCACATGACATCTGTAATGACATGTTTATGGCGTGTGTCGATGTAGCAGGGTTGAAGTAAAGTGTTACAGAGTAAGAAGGTTTTACCTTGATGTCAAAGCCTATGCCCTGTGCCTTGCACATCTGGAAGAATACACTGTAGCGGACCATGGAAAGGTTTGTATGAAGGAGTTGGCTGCTCATCACTGCAAAACGGGTGGTCACCGACGCCTGCCGAGAGGACAGAGAGTCATAGCATCAAGTTATTGCTGCAAATAAATGCAAATAAAACAATATACAGCTACAAAGGGTATCAGAAAATACACACATCTGCAGGAGGTAATCTAATTGCACTGGGTATTTACTACAATATAACAAGGCGGGATGACTGAGACAGGTCCAAAAGTGTCAGCATTTTACTGGAATGGATTAATAGATTTTGTTTTGTGTCATTTCCTTTTCAAGCAAGTACAAAAAGTCTATCTATTTTGTTGCTGATACATCTACATGATCAGTGGAGTGACTTGGGGCCTTGTGTGAGTGCAGTAAACAGATACACTGTCTACACAAAGCGACGTAACAGAGGCTCCAACCCCCACGAACGGATGGTGTTTGTCTCTCAGTAGCTGCACAGGACATTTGGGAGAGCAAGTCCTGGATTGTTAGGTTAGACCACAATAGAGGACAGAGAGGTGTCCTCTGCAAGCCAGCCACGCTCACAGCAAGAGCAGCTAAAGGATGTGTCTGAAAGCATGCTACGAGAGCTGATTAGTTGAGAGTGGCAGGACTCTGAGGACTCAGAGCAGACATGAGGCATATTCTCCATGACAGAGGTAAGACAGGAGCAGCACAGCCCCATCGCACTCTGGAGAGGCTGAGTGATTCTCTCTGATAGAGCTGCGCTTTGAGCTGTCAAAGGCACTGTCCTTGCCCAACAATAAAAAGCCTCTCCAGCGGGGACTTAATTGTGTTTGTAATATTCAAGCCTGAAATGATGGCCACAGCTAGAGCCATTAAGGAAAAGCGGGGCCAGTGATACATTGCAATGCTGAACCACACACACACACACACACTAAATGAATGTTTGATAAAATAATACAAGTCGCAGATTAACAAGCGTAAACTGGAGTTTGCCGCTAATAAAGGAAGTCTATTGTTTAGGGGGCCAGCATCAGGTTGATGAGGTGCTCAGGCATGCATACACATGCATAATGAATGTGGTATGAATTATTAATGGGTTGATTATTTAGGCTCATCTATCAAAATGATAATGAATTCAGCATCTAAACACCAATCAGGTCCGAAGCGTAATTACAGTGTTTAGTTGTATTTAACAAAAATAAAACAACAAACCCTTGGCTGATCAATCTTTATAAATATGGTGATATATCGAGATAATATCCTGTTGAGAGGACTGTTATTGCTCTCCAGTCCACTCACTGGCAACAGATGCTGGATAATGACATTCTTGT